AAAACTGTCAGGTACTAAATGTAAAAATAGAGTTAGAAAGCACAAGACCAAGCTGCTTCAGGGCCAAGAACAAAGGAGATAAAGACGGAAGTTCTGGGAAATCACTCTACTGTGGATACAGGTTTCCCAAGCCTCCGACTCCTTTCAGGTTTGGGGTTCAGATAAGAGCAGACACCTTCAGTGTGTGTCTCATGGCTGGAGAGATGGCAGTCATCCCCGAGCCCCTCCCCTCTTCACCTGGTGCACTGACAGACACCGGCTCCTGCCACATACTTCCTGTTGATGCCCTTGTTGAGTTGAGAACACTATTCTTGGTGATCAGAGGGAGCAGAGGAATCAGGGGTGCTGAGTAACGAAAAGTCCAGAGAAGCCGCCAACCCAACAGGATAGCACCTGATGCATGGCTGCTAGAAGGGGCATTGAGAGTGACTGTCATGTTGAGGTTACTGTACTGGGGCCATCAATGTAAGTACCTTCTTCTTTATGAGAAGACAAGACCATGGGCCATGTGCCTTTCTGCTTGGTATCCCCAGCCTCTGGCTCACATCAGTGCTCACAACATGCTGTTATCACTGCACTTAGGAGAAGTAGGAGCTAGGGAAGGAGGCTCAAGGACACAGCTGGTGCCCCTAACAACAATCATACCAGCCTAAGGGAGCATGGTGTGCTATAGGCTTGCCTGTCTTAAGTCACGGCACCCCTGGCTGGACTCTCCTTCACAGCAACGGGAGTAAACTGAGGCAGCCAGCCCTCGAGGTCACACAGCAAATCAACAAAGACTTAGTGAAATACTTAGTGATGGCGGCATGCCATGTGCCACTGGGCAATGGCAGGTCTCTTGGTTGCTCCTCGGATTCTTCAACTGTAAAATGGCGTGTTGAACTTGATGCTCCTTCAGGCTCCTTTCAGAGGAAACATCCCACCACCCCACATTCTGTGATGCTACTCATGTCAGAGATAGAGCCCGGGAGTTCGATTCCCTTCATGCCTTCCTGGTGCTTCAGAAGCACAGCCAGCTCAGCCACAGTTCTGTTTTCTCTGCTCTCTGACAAGACTCCTCACATTTCCTCGCTTGATGAAATCCCCAGGCCCATTAATGAATCTACAAAGTCTGCTCTGTGTACTGGAGATGGGAGGTGGAGGGAGGACTTGAAATCACCCAGGACACTTGGTCTTAGAGCAATGTGGCTGAAATTACCAAATACCCCCTACATTTTTTTCTTTCCATTCATTTCCCCTTCCCTTTCCCAAACCCATAAATCTTCAGTTTCTAGAAGTGGAAAGAAACACAAAAGAATCCATCTTTCAGTGTTTGGAAGCTATGTGTCAAATTTATGTAGCTACAAAAGTAATAGTAAAAACAACAATATTAACAACAATAATAAACATATTCTGCCTGTGATTGCTGTGTTCTCCAAGGAAGGTCTTTAGATGCCAGGAGTCTAAGCAGACTAATATTTAATTAGCATTGTCTAATTTCTAAGTAGTCTTACTTCCTAACTTTGCTTTGATTTTGATGCTAACGTTTGAATCACTCAAAATGACTGACAATGAGAGGCTTCTGCACTTAGAGTCTTTTTCAGCCTCGCACACACCCGGAGGACACAGCTGGCCAGCAAACACTGGGTGATGTCACCTGTGGGGAGGGGGGCCTCTAAAGGCTCACATTCATTTGCCTAATTTTGGTCAAGTCAACAAACCTCAGGTGAAATTACTGTGGCTTCTTCAGGGAGAGAGAAGCTTTCTTAGGGATGAGAAAAAGTGTGAAATGAATGAAAATATCATACAACAGCACAAACCCCACAAAACATTACTATATGAGAGCTACTGCAGACGAGATTTCCAAGCAAAATAAAACCATTAATTGAGTAGGTAAGCCTTCTTTTAGGTATCTTCACTTTATTTACTTATTTCATCCCAGTGGCCACCTTGTGACTTAGTAGATACAGTAATTATCTCCATTTTACAGAAGAGGAAACTGAGGCACAGCAGATTCAGTGACCAGCCCAAAGTCTCCCCAGCCGGTAGGGGGTGGAGCAGGAATTTGAAAGACACTTTGGCTCCAGGGACCACTGCTCTTCATTACTCTGCTCTCATTTTGGGCGGAACCTAGGTCAAGATCGGGAACACTTTAGCACCTTCCTGGGGAGGAGTCTTCAAGGGAAGATGACTATGAGGCGCCCCACCTCCTGGCAGCTTGATTCCAGCCTTCCGACTGGGCAGGGAAAAATGAAACACATCCTTTCCCTCAGCTGAAGGGGAAGAGGCGGTCCCAGTCTTCCACCGAGGGCTGCAGCCGCTGCAGAGGACATGGCGAGGATGCGCGCCCCTCCACCCCATCTCCACCCACCTACTCACCTTTCCTTGCCCCCCCCAACCACACGCGGGTACTTGCAGCCCTGGGCAAGCCCTGGAGCCCCGCTCCGCGAGCAAACACGGGGAATTGTTTAAAGAGTTTGCAGAGAATGAAATTTGGCCTGTGGAAGGTGCCTGCAGCTGGCGGTTAACACCAAGCAGTAAGAGGATCAACTCCGAGTCCGCTGGCTTAAAAAAGGGGGTGGGTGTGAGACGTGTGCGCGCAGCCTTTTACCCATTCACGTTAGTTAATTTGGATGATAAGGGTTCGTGTTTAATCCCTTTGTGTGCGAGTGAATATATGAAATCGACAACCCCTGAGAGGGCACCCGCGGCTGGCAAAGCAACCTGCGGGAGGGTGCGGGTCGTGTCCAATCTGGCGTGAAGCAGAAAAGAAACGTCGCGAGGAGACTGAAAGCAAGATGGAGAGGGACATCCTAGGGGTGCGTGGTGCAGACCGAGCCCCACACCTCCCAGGCCGCCGCAGGTGGGCCGCTCGCTTCCCCAAGGCCCGGCACCCCAGGCCCCCATCCCACACCCACACCCTTCTGCGCCCTAGGAGGTCCCCAGGTCCCATCAGAGAGCAGGACTACACTCTAGCCACCTCTGCCAAGGACTAACGACATCCAAAGTGAGAGCCCGGGCCCTGCCGTGGTCCAGCAGAGTCGAGAGAATTTAGGCGAGGTGGGGAGCAGAAAAGGAGGAAAAGACATCTAAGGAGAGGTCTCGGTTGTTCTCAGATGGAACAGATTAGAAAAAGGTGAGAGCTCGGTGGCTCTTGAGCAGGTCATAAAACACAAACTATTTTTATAGTTTCCATCTGCAAGAAAGCTCACCCCCCACCCACACCCCGCAAGCCTGAAACCCCCCGAGTGCGGGTTCGGAGGCAGCAAAAGGGAGCAAGCCCTGTCGGTGGGGGAGGGGGCCCCCGGCCGCTGGGCCAGGCCGCCTGCAGAGGCGCAGGCAGCGGAGAGAGCTCCCAGCCGCCGCAGCCCCCCTCCTTCCCCTCCGGCCCGTCCAGCAAATTTCCTCCCTCGTTTCTGTTCGTGCCTTCCCTCCCTCCTCCCCCCCCCCGATATATTCGCTCTAAAACCATAAAAAAGAGATCAACTTCCCTAACTTCACGGAGCCCTTTTCAGTGACAAATATTGATGCCCAAAGTGTCTGCGCTCTCCCGCCCCCAAACGTTAAGAAAAGGCGCCCGCGAATGGGGGACATAAAAAGTTAACAATGCTGTGAAAATATGTTTGCAGAAAATAGACAATCGTTGGATTAAACGTATTCAAGTATGAAATAATGCCTTTTTGTGTCAAAACTTGGGCGATGGGCGGGTACAAAAGTTCCCTGTGGCAGCTACTTGCTCCCTTTGTAAGCCGTGCGCTTTGGCGTCTCCACTTGGGCGCATTACTCAGAGCCCTCTAAGCGCGATTGTTTCTCCCTTTCTAATGACATTTACCGGATCAAAACATGCTGTTAATTCGATCAGAAGGCTTCACCCTCCCTGACAAAGCCACAATAATTTCTCCTGAAGTTTGTTAAATTGACCAAAATTAGGCAAATGAATAGGGGTCTGTAGGCGCCCCCTCTTGCAGGTGACGTCGCATAATGCTCGCCTGGGCCAGCTGCATTCCCCCTTTTCTTCTCGGCCCACTCCTCTCCGTGTTGCCCCCCAATCCTCTCACCACCCCCCTCACACACACACACACACACACATGCACGCCCGCCTGTCTCTCCTCCCCCACCCTCTGGCATTATTAAAATTTAACCCAATGAAACTATTCATACTTTTCAATGGACATTTTCCTATAGGATAATAGGCTACAAATTGAGCCTCTTCCCCCCGAGGAAAGAGAGCCCAAGGGGGGAGAAAAGAAAGCAAGCGATGTGGTCAGGGAGTAGGGGGGAGAGTCGCGTGCCAAAGAGCGGCGGGAGGGGCAAGGCGAGGCGGGAGCCTCGTGTGCCAGCCGCAGTCCCACACCTGCCGGGATGTCCGGACAAATAAAGCGGTGTAAACAAAAAGGGGGGAGATGGACGTGTCACCAAGTCGTGTGAGAAAAGCCTGGGAACAAACGGGGCGCCTCCGTCTCCTAGAGCTCTCCCTTGAACCCGGCGGAACAGCCTATTAAAGGCTTACTTAATTACTTTAATGACTCTGGACAGGCTTTAAAACGCACTCGGCGCTGGGACTGTGGGCTTGCTGGGATTTGTAAACAGGCAATCGTGTGAGACTCAGCGGTGGGACTAAAGGAGGCGATACTGTTTTGTGAGGGTCCTCGCCCCCCGGTGCCCGCGGCCGCTGCGCCCCTGCGCTCCGCGCCTGCGGCTGCTGCAGGCGCTCGCTCACCCGCCGGCCCCAGTTTACCGCCTCCTTTTCCCGCCCGGGCTGTTGCCATGCAAATGTTATTCCCCCGCCGATCACGTGTCCTTTGAAGGGCCACGTGGATTAACAAAGCTGATCTGCCCCCAGCTCGCCCCCCTCGGCTGCTAAATTTTTTTTCTTAACTTCTTTAAAACTGATCTTGAATGCATACATCTCCCAAACGCAGCTCCCCTAATCCTATGGAATAATTCAACTTGTGAATGCACTTGGAGCCCTAGATGACCGCTTTATAAGGCAGCCCCTCGGAGTTGGGAGGCTGCAGTCTACCTGGGACACTCGAGGAGGCACACGAGGTGTAAAGTGGACGGGTGCCTCGCACCACCGCCTCTCCTGAGGGCGCGTACTGACCAGGATGTCAGACAAGCTCAAGGAACGCAAAGTGAGTCGGTAGAGCCCAGACGGTTCTTGCGCCCTGATGGTGGGGGCGTCTGACTCCCTGAGCCGCCGCCTGGCTGGACCGACGGCAGGGACGTGGCCTCACGGGATTTCTCGTGCAGAGGAATCTTGAGGGCTCTGGGAAGAGAACGAAGATAGAGATGAGACTCCTCCACCGGGAGGAGCCCACTCCCGGAGACTGGTGGCCACCTCCCCACTGCCCTGGCGCTCAGCTTGGTGGGGTGGCCCAGCGGGTAGGGAGGCTGAAGGGGAGCGCGCCAGCGCGATCGTGAGAGGGCAGAGCTCCTTTGACCCAAGTGAGGACGGGCAGGGACCCCTTCCGGGGGCGAATCCCTGGGCAGCGTTGGGGGCTGGAAGACGGTTGACACCCAGCTACAGCCATGCCTTTGACGGCTCCCTGAGCAAAGTCATCCTAAACATACAAACTTCTGTTCGCAGAGAACCCCCGTTTCCCACAAAGTGATAGAAAAGCGAAGGAGGGACCGGATTAACCGCTGCTTGAACGAGCTGGGCAAGACGGTGCCCATGGCCCTGGCGAAGCAGGTAACGTCGGGGCCGAGAATCGGGTGCCAGGCGCTGAGGATCCTCCGCTGCCACTCTTGGCCAAGAAGCCAGGAGTCTGGGGACGGAGAGGGCCTTACACGTGGGCCTCCCTCCCCGGGGGCCTGAGCGCTGAGTGAGCCCCAGGCAGCTCTCGCGCAGATCCTCAGCAGCGCCCTGCTCGCTGGTCCTCTCCGGATAAAGCTGTGCACCCAGCCCGGGGGTGGCCTGAGCCCGCTGGGCCGCTGCGAGGCGCCCTTCCTCCTTTTGCAGAGTTCCGGGAAGCTGGAGAAGGCGGAGATCCTCGAGATGACCGTCCAGTACCTGAGAGCCCTGCACTCCGCTGATTTTCCCCGGGGAAGGGAAAAAGGTGGGCGCGGGTTGGGCAAAAAGGAACCTGGGCAGGGAGCGTGCGCCACACAGAGACGTGGGGGCCGGGAGTGGGAGTGAAGCGGCGCTGGCGAGGTCTCCTCTGCGGACGCTGCTGGAGCAGTGGCGGGCTGGGGTCCTGCGAAAGTTAAGGGGGGCTGGAGAACAGGTTTCTAGGGATAGTGGTTCCGTAGCCTCCTTTCAGGTGGTGACGGGTGGGATCAGGCTCTTAATGAAAAGGAGGTCGCTTGCTGGGGCTTTTCCAGTCTCCAGATTAGCGAGAGGGGGAGGCGGGCCTTAAATGGGAACTTCGGCCAGAAAACGTGATGGGAGTCGCACCCGCCTGGGTCTCCCGGTAGGGATGGGGTCGCTCACGGTTTTTCCTTTCTGCCGTTTTTCTCCCGCCTCCAGCAGACCTGCTAGCAGAGTTTGCCAACTACTTCCACTACGGCTACCACGAGTGCATGAAGAACCTGGTGCATTACCTCACCACCGTGGAGCGGATGGAGACCAAGGACACCAAGTACGCACGCATCCTCGCCTTCTTGCAGTCCAAGGCCCGCTTGGGCGCCGAGCCCGCCTTCCAGCCGCTGGGTTCTCTCCCGGAGCCAGATTTCTCCTATCAGCTGCACCCGGCGGGGCCCGAGTTTGCGGGCCACAGCCCCGGTGAGGCCGCCGTATTCCCGCAGGGCGCGGCTCCCGGGCCCTTCTCCTGGCCGCACGGCGCGGCCCGCAGCCCAGCGCTGCCCTACCTGCCTAGCGCGCCCCTGCCGCTCCCGAGCCCGGCGCAGCAGCACAGCCCCTTCCTGGCGCCGGTGCAGAGCCTGGACCGGCACTACCTCAACCTGATCGGCCACGCCCACCCCAACGCCCTCAACCTGCACACGCCCCAGCACCCCCAGCTGCTCTGACGCCGACTCGCCTGCCAGATTTCTCTGCGCTGCGGTCGCTGCTTAGGAGAAATACTGTATATTGTACAGGTGTAAATATTGTGCCAACAAAATAGCTGGGTGGGGGAAAGCCAAGAGCGAAGTAGGCTTTTGAAAGAATCCCCTTGGCAATAAAGGTTTTCTGATAAAGAACCAAAGAGACAGATTTCTTTGTTACCTTCTGCTCCTCCACAACCCATCCTCTCCACAACCCATCGTGCCGAGGGCGCGTGCTGATAGGGGCCAAGGTGACAGCCCTCAGCAATTTTGGGGGGGGGGTTCTCTGCAGGATCCGGGGAGGGGGAAAGGCTAAAAGGAGGTGTCACTTGGGGGCGGGATTCGAGGCTCCCCCGGGGCTCCAGACCCGCATCCGCCTCGCGCGCTTCTTGGGCATTCGCCTCGGAGAAAGGCAGACGCGAGGAACACAGCCTTTGGCTCTCAGAAAATGCAAATCGAAGGACCCGCCCCAAACTGGCGCTGGCGGACTTTGGCCAGCCCGGAGCCTAGGCGCTCTTCCCGCGCCGAGGCAGG